ATTAGATATAAAAAAGTGAAAATTATTTATATATTAAAAAAAACTAGGAAATATTATTTCTTTATTAAAAAAAATGACAAATCTTTACAACTACTTAGCACGTCGTAATTTAATAAATATGCTCTAAATCTAAATAATATATTGCAAATGAGACAATATTATTAATATTTGTTATTATTATGCCGTATTTTAGTTTTTCTTCTACTTGATCACAGATCATTATTAACTATGTTTGTTGTTAATTTAGTATTGTTTTAAATTGTTAGCTGTAATTTTAATAACATTTAATCAAATTTAAAGAATCTATTTTTTTGACACTTAAACTTAAAATATATTATAATATAGACGAGCTATCTTTATAGTTACACAATTGTAAAATAGACACGTTTTATTATGTTTTCAGAAATCAATAAAAATCAACAATATTGCCATAATTGGTAGGATCGCTGCTTTTCTTTGTTTCTTTACATTATTAAAAGCCAATGATGTCTCCCCGTATCTTTGGAGAAGTTATATGAACAATTCCTTCTCAGATGTATGCGAGAACAACATTATCTTTTTAAACTTTGCACATACAACCATCAATAGAATCGATGATGATTTTATCAGCAGCCCATTTATTACTTGTCTAAATCTTACGGATAATCATATTACATACCTCGCAGACAATGCCTTTAGAAAACTTCCTAACTTAACTACTCTGTTTCTTTCTAATAATAAAATCATATCCGATTTTCACTTAAGTGGCCACGAAAATTTAAAAGTTCTTATTATGAATAACTATAGATCTTACGAGAATTATTATCAATCATTTGAACAACGAATTGTCGGACAATATCAAAACTTAGAAATTTTATCTCTTTCTGAAAACTACATAAAAGATTTAGTATATTCTCCGTATCAAAGTGATACAATCTATGATTCATCTAATCACAGTTATGATTTATCTTCGCAAAATTTAATGCCGCAAAAGGTAAATATTCCATTTCCAAAATTGAGAATTTTAGACCTTTCTAGAAATAGAATACAAACATCCAAGTTTGTAAATCTGTTACCTAGAAATGGTCTAAGTTTTCTCGATCTTCATGAAAACTCGCTTCAATCTTTAAGCTTGTCTGAAAAAGGAGAGAATGTGTATACATTGATCTTAGATAATAATGAGATAAAGTATGTAAAGCGGCAATACAGCAATGGAGTCAATCTCTTTAGCATGAAATCTTTAAGAAATCTTTCCATTTCCAGTAATCGCATTATCAGTATTGGGTCAGATGCTTTCAAAGATACAAACAAGTTAGAATTTTTGAATCTGTCTGGAAATGCTATAGAAACTTTGCATAAATACACATTTGCAAACTTGAAGTACTTACAAACAGTTGATCTTAGTTTCAATCTAATCAAAAATATACCTCAATTTGCAAATGAACTAAACATTAGTACTTTGTTTTTACACCACAACAAAATAAATACAATACGTCCAAGCGTTTTCATTCAGTTTCCGAAGTTAAAGAAATTGTTTCTTGAAGAAAATGATATAGAATGGATTGACACTAAAGCGTTTGCTCAGCTTTCTATGCTGGAGGAATTAAATTTGTCGAACAATAAATTGAGTTCTTTGCCAGAAAGATGGTCTGAATCTTTGATATCTTTGAAATACTTGAATTTGTGCGAAAATAATTTTACTTCGCTAGAATCATTGTCTTTATCAAGTACAATATCATTAAGAGAACTGTATCTCATGAAGAATCCGTTAAAATATTTAAATATTAGTTACTTTGAATATTTGCCACAAAATCTTACTGTACATTTATTAGAGTAAAAAGTTAATTTGATATATTATTTGAAGTATACAAAAATATAAATTTACTACTTATTGTTAGTTAAAAATATGATACTACTATATAATTGTTAAAGAATAAATAATTGTTATGTATTTTTACCGACAATTGTTTCTATTGAAAAGTAGAAAAACTAAAATGTAATGGTCGAAACGTCTACATCTTATAAAAAAATAAAAACAAATATTTGTTGCACATTGTACACTATGTTCGGCTTCTGAGGAATGTTAATTTATATTATACATTGTATTAATAATATTAATAATTTACTAATACAAACCTCAAAGTAACAGTGTACTTTTATATAATCTTTATATATTATTAAATACACATTTATATATAACTATTATAAAAAATATAAGATTATTAATATATTTATAGTTCTCGAGAACTTCTCTTTTATTTTATTAGATTGAACATTTATGTTATACTTATTTGATGAAGAATGTATGATATAACTAGTAATGTATGATGTAACTAGTAATATTTTATATAATCATGAGCAATCACATTACGTGCAAAAAAATTTTTTGTTTAATATACTATGCTAATATATTGTACATATAAATATATAAAGCGCATTAAATCATCATCAAAACACAGAATTGCGACATTTCTAGTTTTATTGACTTCGACAAATAATTGTGCACTGAGCGAGATTCAAGTTTTATATATGTATAATGAGCGAGATTATCTATCCGGTTCGTTTTCACGCGAAGCAGATTAGTCCGCGACGTGAGAGTCGCGGCATAATTCCGTGACTGAACATTTCAGATACCTGATTTGGTGAAGTTTCTCACAGAAATGATTACATCTCGCTCCGCGCGACGTTTATTGCTGTGTACTATTATTACGTGGTTCAATTTCAAAACGGAAACGCCACCACTTGGACAGCCTGATAATGAGTGTGAACTGGATGCGAACATTTGTTTTATTCTCGATCTGGTTGTATTTCTCGTTGTTTTACTTTGTAGAAAACGGCGCGTGCGTCGTTTTGTCACGTATATTGAGATTGCAACAAATAGAAATTTGCAATTTTATAACCATAATATTTACAGTTGTGCATGTGTGTTTTTTGTGTTGTGAGAAGCAACTCAAAATAAATTTGTGATTATAAAATTAGATTCCAGAACGAACAAATTTATTTACTGCGTCATATCATGTAACTTTTATCTTTTGACGATAGTATTTAGCTGCGATTTTGCGCGTTTGATTTGGATGCTTGCCTAAAACATAACCATAGATGTTAATGATGATTTAACGTCAAAACAGGTGTGTAAATATAGATACACGTAACTCGAATAAAACTGAGTTTACCTTAAACCTATAACGTTTTTCTTTGACAAATAAGATATTAAAATTAGATGCAAAAAATATTTTTTGATATGACGATTTTAACTTTATACGGAGGATATGCGATCTATATTAATAAAACTGTCAAGAATAATAACATTCGTTAGATATTGTATAGTGTACTTATTTCATACTTTGTTATTTTTTATGCGAATGGAAAAGGAATAGTAAAAAACGACATTTTTACGTATAGAAAAATATATTTATTTTACAGTAACGTGTTTTTTTTCTCTCTTCGCGTGAACAAGAAAAGTAGATTTTACTTTTCAAAAATATTAACAACAACGTTTCCGCATTTTTCGTAGAAGCGTCAATGTATACAGGTGTTACGAAAGTTCGAGACAACAGAGCATTACGATTTTTATTTTTCGATTATTGAAAAGTTGTCAGATCTTCGTGATGCAATCGATACGACGCGCTAGACGCGCGAGGAAAGTAGCGCCTTGCGCACTTGAATGTGATGCGCTACTTTGCGCACGAGGTAATATCGTTCAGGCGTCGTGCATGCACTCGGCCGTAAAAGAGAACACACGCAGTATTTATACGCAAAACGCTTGATAATTTGGCGCGTATAATTTATATAATTTACCGAGTCACATCTTTTGATACTTTCACGCGTAAACTTTCAGAACGAAATCTCGGTGTGATATTCAACGTACGATATAAGAAATCATAACTTTCCTCTCTCGCGCGACGTAATCAATGATTAGAGATAATCGCTTGAGAATTTTGCACGTGTACTCATTTTACCGTGACGAAGAAATTTGCATCGCTACTTTATTCGCGCGCGCGCGCGCGCGAACGAAGATTGTTCCGATTTATCGAGGCACTTGTAGGTATTCATTTTCACTGCTTCTATCGTAGATTGAATGCGTGTGGAAACGTTGTGGTCTTCACCTTGCATGATGAAAGCCGCCGACCGTCAGCGAATGATACCGCGGATGATAGTAAACGTCCAATTTTCCGCTCGACCGTAGTTTAACGTAATTTGTAGAAGCGCGTGCTGAAGAAGAAGGCGATGATGATGAAGAAGGAACACGCTCTCTCCTGGCGGGCGTTACCAATTGCGCGGCAAGCCCCGGTCTTCGAGTGCCCGTCTTCATTATCAGCCCCGGTCTGTGTCTGCTTCTTAATCGTCCCCGCCCGTCATGACTTCCATGAACTCTGAAAGCACGCACAGCGAGCGTTAGTGTAATCAAGCGGCGCCTCGTGTTTCCCGCGAGCGGCGAACTTGGCCAACCACCCAGAAACGAGGGGATTTATTGAATGTTTGATCGACTTTGCCGTGCGGTCTTAAGCCGACGTTGACATTGACGTGCGCAAAACGAATTTTCTTGGCTCCAAGCTTCGTAACTCGAAAGAGAAAGAGAGAAAGAGAGAAAGAGAGAGAGAGAGAGAGAGAGAGAGAGAGAGCGCAGATTTTATTATAAATGAACTACTTGGCTTTTCCGAAGCTTGTGTCACATGTTATCTTATCGCGAAAATTACGCTTGTTAGATGCAGCCAGCGGCGGAATATATCAAACGTATTATTTGAAATGTCACTGGGTTATTGCTAGCACGTTCGCTAGCACATTCCCTGTGCACGTGCTGTGCGGTTACTTTGGCACCGCCGCATTTCTATAACGTCAAAACCGCGTTCAAAATCTCTTCTTCTTGCACTTTAATATTGACTCTCTAAATTTAAATTAAATTTAGTACCTCTTGTATGTGCTATTTTCTATTCGAGAGATCGTAAAATATTAAAAAAACAATAAAAAATAACTTAGACATCGCTTGTTAGTAGCTGCAGCTAAATGGCTGTTTCATGCAAGTTTATGTATTATTTATCGGGAGTTGTATTATTATTTACGTAAGTTATCGGAAATTATCGAGAGTATCGTCGCGAGTTGATAAAAAAGTCAGGAACTTAATGAAAAGAAGTACCGTCAAAGTCAAGCGTTCCTGAGCCATCCGCGTCGATTTCCTCGATCATCAGATCGAGTTCCTCCGGCGACAGCTTGTCATCGAGTTCGTGAAGAATATCACGGAAGACATCGGTGGTTATATAGCCGTTGCCTTCTTTGTCATACAATCGGAATGCTTCGCGTAATTCTTGCTGCATCGCTTCCGAATCTTCCTCCACCAAGAATCTAGCAGCCAACGTGCAGAACTCCTCGAATTCGAGCTCACCAGATCCTGTTGTTACAGAAAATACACGTGAACGTAGCAAGGTTTAGAGAACGTTGTTCTCGGGATCAAATCAAATTAAGAATTTTACTCACCATCTTCGTCTACTTCCGTGATAATATCATGCAGCGCCTTTTCACTGAGCTCGTAGCCCAACATGGCTAATATCGTTCCCACCATGGTGGTGCTAATGCTGCCCTTCTTCTCGTGATCGAAAGCGTCGAAAGCTTTCTTCAGCACTATTTAGAAAATTCAAATTACTCTCAATAATATTTTTAATACGACATAAATTACAGAAAGATGCACTTACGAACAATTTGGTCCTTAGGTAAATCTTCCTAAAATTATATATAACACGTTATTATTCGTCCATTCGACTATTCGAATCATCAATTAAAAGTTACATTTTTTTATATTAAAAAGAAATAAATAAAATATAAAAAATATTTTCACGTGTGTGACACACTAAATAATTGTTTTTTTCATATTTGATAACGCGAAAAGTAATTAAATAAATTTTTTGATTTTGTTTGCAAGTTTTACATTTGTTTGTGAAATTATTCGATTTTATTTAATTTTGAGATGTTGAAGGTTTTTTTTCACGCTTCCCGAAAAACATTGGGACTTGACAAAATAATTCTCGAACTTATTGAAAATCTGTAAGACTTGCCATGGCGATGTGTTAACTACACGCGTTTCTTGCGGTACTTTAGGCTCGGCGGTTTATCCGGGTATGCACCAGATTCTGGCCGTGGACTTCTGTTTTAAGTGGATGATTTTCTGGCACGTGATTGACCGGGTACATCCCGAGTCTAGCGGTTTTCAAATTCATCGAGGACGCTCTCCCCACTCTATTTCCATAGACGTGCTTTAATTGTGCAGAACTCATGTAGCAACGCATTTAATTTCGAAAATCACCCATGCCTTTCTCAGTCACACGTTCGATTTATCAACGGTTTTGCTAAAAGTGCCAAATATTCTGACGTTCTTACATGTAGATTTAATGCAAGCATATTGCACACTATTCGTCTTGAAGCGAGTAATTATCTCTGATGTGAATCACATACAACATCTAGATATGTGTAATTTCACGTATCAGTTTATGTTAAAATGTATATCGAAAAAAAATGTATACATAGTACAATATGTAGTTAATGTTTTATTAAATAATTACAAACGTAATGTAGTTATTTTTTAAAATTTATTTTTAAAAAGTTAGTGCTTTATAATATAGTTGATACACCTACTGCCGTATAAATATATATGTATATATATATACATGTATATACATATGTATATATATACATATATAACGCAAGTATACATATAATTACATATATAACACAATAGTATTGAGAAATTACTTTGATATGAACCACTATATATTACTATCTGATATTCAAATTCTATAACTCTAACAAAAAATTAACAGTTACATTATTAATTAAAATTTTTTCTCTCAAATTACTTTCTTCTAACATTATAGCCGCAAGTGTTAAATTAAAACGTGTAATCTTTGACGCCTCTATGAATGTCTATAGCAATAAAGTCGTCTCGCGTCAGTCAACCGGATCGCCACATAAATATCTAATGATTAGAGTTTGCGCCGTCGTAATCGGGACCTCACAAGAGGTTCATTGTGAAATTTCGCAGCGTCCCGGAACGGCAGAATTTACGAGCGACACGATGTCCGCTGACCAGTTGCACAGACGCAACAATAGACAAAATTGGCTCGCTGCCGAAAAATTCATGGGTGAGACTGACCCAAGACGATTCTATGCAATAACCGTGCGCACACTTTATTCTTAGTCTGCTAATTATAAGCTTATAAACCCTCGGTGGCTTCTATTATATTTAGGTGATTTTATCGTTCATTCCGAAATATAGCCGTTTGCTATCGCGTGTATTGTCGAGTGTCTTTGAGACACGCCTCCGCTATTCTTCCACAACAAAAGTTCACAATAGGTTACACTAGTGTTACAGAATTGAGCGTGTAACGTCCGTTAGCTGATGCGTGCAAAGCACGTGCTGTCAAAGCTGCCAGCACGCATTCACGAGTGCGTTCCAAATGCGACTTGTTGTATTTGATGACAGGTACAAATATAAACTCTCTACGATACAGTGAAGAATTACGGAAAATTGCAACAGTTCGCTCATGTTCTTTTAATAATAGAAAATTTAGGTAGTAGTCTAGGTTTATGTAGAGAGCATTTTTTTTTTTTTAGACAACTAACAATAAGTAACAATATGTCTGTTTAATTTCTGTTTGATTTTATATTACAACTTTTCTTGTAAATTAATATATCAAAAAATTTAATGAATAATAAGAAAATATATATTATTATTGTGTATTATTTGTGTTAATTTAGATTATTACTACTATTTTTATAAAATTTTTTATTATTCAGCTTCTGTTAAATATAATGAGAAAACTTACTGCAAATTAGAAAGTAATATTATTTAATTTAATTAACTTGCGTTGCGATTTTAAAATATAGAAAAATAGAAACAAAATAGAAACATTGCAGTAAATTTGAGGTCAGTAGAATAAATGTATTTTTCTGTATGCGATTTTTTTGTAATTTATTAGTTCATATATAATATTTTAACATCATTGATTTTCATCTTATTTCGCTTGATATATAATTTTTCGTCTTTTTTTGTAATATTTTTTTCTCTTCTTAAAAATATATATAGTATTTTTTCTTAAACGTATAGACACGTAACAGTTATACATAGGCGAAATATAAAATTATATAAAATTTCGATATTTGATTGTATTACAATTTACATTTGAAAATACAATGTTTATATTTTACATTTCGAAGAATAACGATAATAAGCTATTTGTTTTTGTTCTGACAAATATCTATAAATTTCAAGATACTAAAAATCGTTATTATTACTCTTTTATTTCCAAGATTTTTGAAAAGTTTCTTCACAATAATATTTGGCATTATGAGTGTATTGTTTTCTAAGCACATTATTTCATTTTATTTAGAAAAGAATCTTTTAAATTTTATTCGTTTTAAATTTGTCACTACCGTAAAATATTTAGAGAAATTTCATAGGAATTTTCTTATATGATAAATGAGCGAACTTAATACTCTGCTAGCGTTAAGTATAACTTCGAAAGGTGATTCGGCTCCTTTCCTCTCTCTCTCTCTCTCTCTCTCTCTCTCTCTCTCTCTCTCTCTCTTTCTTTCTCTCTCTCTCTTTCTCTCTTTGCACAGACAAACTCGTTGTTCAATACGTGGGCGATAGACACGAGACATCCACGCGGTGCCAAAGTCATAACTTATCCTGTCATGACCTCCATGAATTCTGTAACGTAAACGTAGGGGTTAGTCTGGTATGTATAGGCGAAGACTAAGTGGATTAGCACCTGTGCGCACTACACAAGATTTCTCACCATCGAAATCGAGCGTGCCAGATCCGTCAGTGTCCACCTCCTCTATGATCATGTCGAGTTCCTCCGGAGATAGCGCGTCATCCAGTTCATGAAGGATGTCTCTGAACACATCTGTAGTAATGTACCCATTGCCTTCCTTGTCGTACAATCGGAATGCTTCTCGTAACTCCTGTTGTATCGCTTCGATGTCAGTTTCCTCTTCAAGGAAGCGGGACGCTAACTTACAAAACTCCTCGAACTTCAATTTACCTGTTCCTAGATATTGTTACGTACGATATTCCCGATTAATTTTATATTGCAATGCTTTTTCTCTTTGGAACTCCTTTTTTATTTGAATTACTTTTTTACGTTAAAAGACTGCTAGATATTTCTCTAGATCATGTTCTTAATCAAATATAAAGTGCAGAAAATGGCGGATATGATTAAAATATTTGTTTTATTACTGTAATTTGTATATACGTTTTATATTGTAAATAATTAATAAATAATATATATTCTTAAAAATATATAAAATTATAAAATATTAAAAACGAATATCTCAAATTTTTATTTAAAAAATTTGAAATAATATTTTAAGAAGTAAAATAATTTTTCAAAAGCGGAAAAATATATATAAAAATAATGTTTAATATCTTGAAATTTAGAAATATATTTGCTAAGACAAAGGCAAATAGTCCATTATCATTATTTCGAAATATAAAATGTAAATACTATATTTCCGAATACAAATTGTAATATAAAAAACTCAAAAATGAAAATTTTATACAATATTTTGACTACGTATAACTATTGTATATTTTAAAAAATATCATATGTATTTTTAAAAAGAAATATAAAAAATAATTTACCTTCCGTATCAATCTCCCATATAATTTCTGCGAGTTCCGACTCTGAGACTTCATGACCGAGCATTCCCAAAATTGTACCGACCATATCCGTGCTAATGCATCCTTTCTTGTCGTGATCGAAAGCGTCAAATGCCATTTGCAGATCTGTTCGGAGCATTAATTTTATAAAGTTGTCACATATCGTTTATGTATAGATCGTCTATAAAATTGATGGTAAATTTGCTCAATATTCTAGATAAAGTTCATTAATATTAGAAGAACAAGATGTGTTAATTTATAAAATCAGAGAACTTACGAGAGAGTTGATCTTTGCTAAGTTGAATTTCATCCTGCAATCGAGTTGAACATTATTAATATCAAATGTGAACTTCTCTATTTGTGACATATAAAATTACGTAAAATATAAAAAATTTCACAATTGTAGAATTAATTTGAATAATCTACAACTATTCACACGGTAAAAGTTCACACGCGCGATAAATACCATGTCTTTCAAGTTCGCTGTTTTTTCTTATTCGTCGAACTAATCACAATGTCGGATGATCACGAGTTTCTTTCAGATGCGGCTGACTTACTGCACCGTCGAAAAAGTCATACTGAGCCGTGCTAAACTAATTAGCGGGGTATACAATAGTACAAATACACACCTACGATCGGTGTCAATAGATCATCGCCAATCGAACGTGTCGAATTAGATACGCTATAAAAAGATTCTAAATTCGGAACAGCTTTCATGGCTGCTTCTTTGCGAAATAATTGACGAGCTAACGCAATCAAATGAAGTTTCTAAGGTTTCTTACGCGAATTTATCAGTAATGTATAAACATTGTTACTGCTGAACATTTTGTAAAAATAAAACTTTATATTTTTTGTATTTAGATATTTTTATTTTCCGTGTTTCAACAATGCCTTTGAAACGCCAGTTACAATATAAATGCAATTTAACTTGTTTTTTTTTCTTTAGAGATGAGCGCGACATAATCTAGAGAAGAATTTGTGACATATTTGTTATATTATCTTCACACACGTGACGTCGATGATCGCTATAGCAAGCCCACACATGGCGAAACTATTCGCGAACGTGAGAGTGGTTACATATATCGAACATGTACAGCGGTTTGGTACCGTCATTGCATCCTTTTAGAGAATTGCAGTGGGTTACACAGACAAGTAGTACGTGAAAAAAAAAATCATCTGGCAACTACCTTTAACTAACCTCGATATATGTATGTTACTTCTCTAGAGAGCCAATCAGATAAAGCTTCGACGTTAAATCGAACTACTGACCTAACGGCTAAAAATAATTCTAGGTAAGGGGAATCGCTTCATTACCATAATAAACGACTCATTGCGGATTACTAAGTTTAGGGTGCGCCGACTTCCGTCGATCGTTCTGTTTTCGTACTCATTTATATATGCGTTTGGTCCAGCAAAATTATCGAAAACTATTTTCTCGCTTTTTATATCTCACTTTTTATATTTCACTTTTTATATTTCACTTTTGATTTATTCAGGTCGTTTCACAAAGTATTTTTGAAACATTGGATGGAAGATACGATTTTGTTGTATATTACGAAAAGACAGTAAATTGTTACGTATACACGCATAAAATTATTATACAGCAACTTTATAATTATATTTAATTATAAAAATATTTTAATTACAGTTCCCGATCCCCGAGCAAATATTTGATTAGATTTAAAGTACGTGCAATTTTTTCTACCGTGAAGAAATAAACTTTGACGCAAGATAATGATTTATGATAATAATATAAATTATACTTGCAAATTCTCTTTGTGCGCGCATGCATGAATTTTCAGTTTTTATTGATTATTTTTTTCTCTTGATTTTGATTTACTTTTGCGGAAAATCGTACAATGCTATTTGTGATAATTTATCGTGCAAATTTCTCGGTAGCTGACATTGACCCACGTGACTTTGGCTGGTAGCCAAACTTAGTCAGATCTAAAACAAGGAGATAATTCCGGACTACTATCCATAAACTGGCATAATGCATTTGTACAAATTTAATTTAATATGATAAAAACACTCTTCTATAGAGTCATGTTTAAAATCTTTTTCTAACTTTATTCAATGTTTTCTCTCGATACATATGTTTGTAATTATTCTGATTACAATGTTTATCGAAGATTTGCAAATATACAAGTCGGGGGACAATCTCGCGCGTCGTGTTTGTCATGGGATGTACGTGTTACAAATGATATCATCGTCGAATCTGTGTTCGCTCGAGTCGGCCATTGTCAACGATTGCTCGTCGCGACGCGGATGCGGCGGCAAGGGCGGCGGTTCGATTCTGCAGATTACAGACAAGGATCTTTTCAATCTCCATGTGTTGAGTTGCGACAATGTCGGTTCGACGCCGGAGATGTAACTCGGCCCGTCGCTCTTTACGCTCGCCTCCGAAGTTCTCGAGTTTCTGCGAAGCGAATTTCGCGCTGATGGCGGCAAGGGTATGACGTATTCGATTTTGTTCAAGTTTCGCGAGATCGTAGATACCGTGTTCTTTTTCGCGGACTCGATGGTTTCGCTCGAAATTCCCTTCGGCAGTATCATAGCGTTTGGAGATCGACGCTTCACGATCACAACTCGTTTGCTGCCTCGCAGCATCGCGGGATGTTGTCGCACCGTGATAAACATGAGAACGGCGCTGACGAGGCACACGAATATCAAGGAGGAGACAAAGACAGCGATGATAACTTTTGTATCGATTTTGCTCAGCCAAGAACCGGATGACGACACGACCCTTGTGGTCAGACCCAGACAATTCAATGGCGAAAACTTTACGTTGTCCGAGGAACAAATCGTATAGCTCGCTTGCGGCTCTACGTTATCCAGAACGTAGTGACTTCGAACTTTACTGATGCACCGTACCGACTGTCGAAGACTGTCCACGTTTAATCGAGCGTCGTTATTAAACCAAATCAAAGACACGTATCTCGTGTTTGGCAGAGTAATTTTGACGCTACCATTGTCGAGTTCCGTCGCGTAGAAATCCACGAGTCGCAGCGGCAGTTCGAGATCGTTCGTCACGAACAGTTGATGCGAATAATTCAATTGAAGTAATTGATCGACAGTATTGCATTTGATGTGAATTATCTGCGTTGACTCGGTTGTAGATGTGCTTTTTGCTGTTGTCGGTTCCGCTTCGTCACACGTCGTGAGATCGGCGCCAATTGTTGTATCAGTCGTTTCGTTGCAAAACTCGGCGTACAAGAATGATTTGTCGGCGTTCTTCTTTGGCGAACTACAAATTGCCATTGTCTTGGAAATTATTACGTCCGGATATCTCGTTATCATATCTTGCAGCCACTTGAGATCGCAGTCGCAGTGCCACGGATTGTCGTGAATTGTCAGACCAAACTTGGGATGGTGTCGAATTATAGAATTAAACAGACCTTTCGGCAAGGACGCGATATTGTTATTGTCCAATGTTATTTGCAGCACGGTTTTGGACATCGGCTCGAATGCGTTTGCGCAAACAGTCATTACATGCGAGTTGGATAAATAGAGCGAGTTCACGTATGGCACACCGAAAAAGAGCGACGATTCGACAGTCGGAATATTATTGAACCTCAAGGACAAAATTGTTACTTTCGACAAAACATTCGCTCCCGTGATGTTCCGAAGAACCGCGTTGTTTCCGACAACACCTTGCAGCGAAAGACTTTCCAAGCTATTAGCAACGCCATTTAATAAATTCCTCTCGGCTTCGATTAATTTGTTTCCTTCGATAAAGAATTCTTGCAGATTTGGCAAGTGATTAAAAGTGGCTTTTCTCAAAACAGATATTTTATTGTTCCAAAGATGAAGCTTCGTTGTTTTCTGAAATATTTGCGAAGCGAACGCTTCCTCGTCCAATGTAGTTAGGGAACAATTGATGAAAGTTAACTTGTTGATTGCCAATTTCGTTTTCAGCCAATTTTTTTGAAGTTTGTTATCAGGAAATGTCGACTTTTCAAACACTAAACTCGCACCGTCATTCAAGCCGCATGAATTCTACAAAATAAATTATTAACAAATTTATTTTTAGATATGCGTGCGGTATATAAAATTTTTCTTGTAAAAAAAAATAATCAAAACGGTACCTTGTATTTACTTTCGATGTATTTTCTCGTTATTTCTCCTGGATCGAGTTGCGCTGGTATGGAACACTCGATAATCTTGCACGACTTCTGGTGACAGTAAGATATATCCATTGTCTGGTTATTTGTCGACGGTGTTACAAGTTCCTGACTGATAATGTTTAACGGATGCGCGATGTTCGACGTTGTTTCTCGATTTGTCACTTCGTGATTATTGTGATTGTTCATCATTTTATTATTATCCGATCTCGACCAGATATTTGGGTCGCAGTAGAGAATTCCGACCGTGCTGCACAGCAACGCAACTGCTAGAACCGTCCGACATGCAAGCAGACTGCATTCAATTAATATCTGTTTTAAAGCGATATGTGTAATTGTTGTGTAGATAACAAATGTAATTAATTTTATAAATTGGCTTCTAGTTTTATATTTCTCTCGCGCAATTAACGGGCAAATTGCCAAGTTACAACAAAAACATATTATCTGCTCGAAACATATGCGCATACATTTATATTAATTTAATAAATGCGTTTAAAATGTAATTTATAAAAACACTTTATAAAAAAGAAAAATCATAAATTAACTTCAATACGTACCTCCTTCTCCAATTCAAAATCGGTAAACACATTTTTACCAGGTCATACACCAAGCACACTTGCTGCACACCGCGGTTCGATTCACAGCCTAGATTCATTGAATCTAAAATTGCGGTCAGTCTGCACTTGATATTAACGTTATCTTATGCAGCAGCTGATATACGTATCTCGTATTGATTGATGCAATTGTAAAGAAGAGTTTCAACAAATTACATATGTACCTTTATTTATATTTTACTTAATATATACGTTGGAGAGTTACACAGTGAGCCACACATTTCCAATAAAAACTGTCAATATCTCTATTTACTTAAGAAACTCATAAGTTATTTAAATATTATTTATTTACTTAAAATTAAAAAAAGATGTATCTTTTAATAATTTTTTAATTAAAATATATGTATCTCTTTCTATCATCGTCATTTTACGCAGTAACTTTTATGAGTAACATTGAAATTAAATGTAAGTAAAAATAATAACACACACACACACCGCACGACGCGTATTTGTTTGTATTATTTTTATTTATTTGAAAGAGTCACAGATACATGGTAATTGTTAACGACATCATAAACAATGACATATAGACATTTGAATTTGGAATATATATCGACGCACGGGTTGCGAGTCGATACGAGAAAAATGTCGTAATACATAGGTACATATCACGTAATAGTTTTTCATATAGTGTTCATATACATACAACATTATGTATAGACATATACAGACGAAGTTCGTGTACATATATGTATGTGTGTCGTGTATATAATTAACTATGTATATATATATTTATATATTATATATTAACATCGATATAACATTAGGCGTGATTTTGTCTTGTGTGCGCATGTTCGTTTACATAGGATGTGTTGTGTGTTATATATGTATATATATATATATACGCATCTCTAAGAGCATTTACATCAAGAGATGTAGACGTTTCTTTCAAGAGAACTCTAATTTCTTTTCATTTACATCTAAAAATTGTTCACACAGATTTTATTACTTATGTAGAGAAACTCTTTTACATCGGCTTTTTTTTGGAAATTTTCTTTTTATTTAAATAGAAGACAGTGAGAAAAAGGGATGGAATGCTTCGTAATACTAGTGTGCGTCGTGTTTTTGGGCGCGTAGACGCCGCGCGTGTGTGTAGTGTTGTGTGTGTGTGTGTATATATATATATATATGTGTGTACTTAGATATATATGTACGTGTTTGTACGTGTTGTAACACAGATACGAGGTTTCTCGAGTCGTGCGAAGAAGCGACGTGTGTGAGCGAGCACCGAGATTAGCGTAAGATACATAACATATCCCTCGATCGATAGATAAGCTCCATTTATTTTCATCTCTGCGCGGGTTTTGTTAACGGGATCGTAAATTAATTTTCGTTCTGCTGACGCACCGCACATGCATATATTTATCATACACGTGCACCGTCGTGTTTTTCACGCACGCACGCACGCACGTATGCGTTTTTTTCAGGGTTGTTTTCGCGCGTTTTATCAAATGCAGTAAGTAAGATAGGAGCCGGATTCACTCGTCGGGCGCGCCGGCAACGATCCGACCACATTTGTAAGACGCTGTACAAAAATATCCGCTTATAATAATTAGTAATAATAAATCGGCGCGCCCGATGAGCTCAGCGCCGGCTCGCAGCGATATGTTCTCTTGACTGGTTCTGCGGGCTCGATGTTCGGCGATCCCGTGGTCTTTTCGATGCCGCACCCGGCGAATTCAACCGTGTTCAATCAACAATGATGTTCGATAAAGAAGTCTGGAGAATTTCGCTCTTCTTTTTTTTTTTTTTTTTTTACTTTCTTTAATTAACTCTAACGCAGAACATCGTACATCTTCAATCGTGCAATAATCAACACGCCATTTAAACAGCGTAATAACATTTTATTGGTGTTTTAGCAACGAAAAGACTCGAGGTCGCACGAACCGTACGTTCCCGTTTTTCGTTCGTATCGCTCTAAAAAATTACCTAAAGATTCTAAAATTATCTAAAGATTTATATTCTAACAACCGAGCCAGAAGTTCTTCTTCGGCAAAGTTTTCTCATGTAGAGACGACTAATCGATTTATATCTCGGGACGTTTTATCCGGAGAAGGAGGGATACGGAATACGATAGTTCGCGTTTCATTAATTGATAAGAGAAGATGCAAATTGTTGGAATGTTAGGAATGAATACAATAACGAGAATACCGGGAGATCTTGGTAAAGAATTTTCGAACTTTTGGCTCGGGCAATTTATGCTATCACGCTACTTAGCTAGCTTTACTTTCAGATCTATTAACTTTTTTTTTTTTTGTATAACTTATTGCCGTTCACACACTGCCGTTCACGTTGTCTTTTCCCCTTATATCGATCGTTTAATTCTACGTGTGCATTATAAATCATAACACGCCGATAAAATTTATTTATTTGCATGCAATTGCAAAACTGAGAAAACTGAGGGATGTATTATAAGATATGCAGATATGCCTCGTACGGATCCTAAGCTAAATGTAGGGCCTGCAGAGAATCGCATTCGGCGTATCTTCAACTTCCGTTTTGAACTTACCTGAATTTAATGTAATCATAAATATTTTTTATTAAACACAGTATATATATTACATTCATATGTATATAATTTATGTTCTAATTAACAATGGAACATAAGAAAATACAAGTAAAATTATCATTATATATATAGAGAGAGAGCATTCTGGAATAAAAGCAATTTTACAACGCCAGTATGCGCCCGGCTTTGTTTGTTTGTTTTTTTTTTATCATCAATATAACTTCTTAGAAAAAACATCCAGTGCATATATGCATATATAAGAGATATAAGTATATAATATATATCTTTTTTTTCATATAATCATTATGTAATGCATAATAATATATATATATATTATATATGTAACGTACATATATAAGAATTTATATATATGTATATATTAACAAATAAATTCTCTTAAATCTCGATACATTCACGATATGTATACGATCTTTAGTCGTTATAGCTTCAAGCCTTAAACTGACTTACTTTTAATTTATCTTACAACGTAAACTTGGGCGTGTAAATGATATGTGTATGTAATATCATCGCTGTTTCTCCGCGCTCGTATTTTTCGAGAGAAAGTCTTCATTAACACGAATTTATACGGCCGTGTGTGATCAAGATAAAACTAATATAAATAACATTTTTGCAATAAATAACAAATAATCAAACATTAATATTTTATCAACAAAAATAATTGATAACATTACTGTATTGTTGATTTTTTATCGTCTAAAATCGCCGAAATAAATTAATTGTTGAGAATTAATTAAGGAGGTAATTAGAAACCTTGTTATTTTGCTTTGTTAAGACTTAATGTGCGTTCTGAAATTGTAGCTACGAAATTCTCTCTCGAAAAAAACTCGATCGCCATATGTAACGCATACCACAGTGCCCTTAATTATTACAATAATGCCTTATGGTTATTTCTATACCTTAACCCTTATTATATACGTATCGAATAGCAAAACACATATTACTTTCTGCGTTAACTACGTTCCATGAACTCTACGCTTTTGCTACGATCGATCTTCTGGTAACGATATACGCCTTCACTGAGAAACGCGTATATTCGTCGCTCGATGCATCGCGCGTTAGATGACGCATCCACTGAACATTTTTCACACAAAGCGAAGCACGCGTTGACGTATTGCGCATCTTCGTGCATATAGCACAATCTTCCGGAGTGTTGCGAGCGCGCAAAATTATTTTGCACGCACGTAATAAAAATTATACGAGATAAATATTAATTAATATACTTTCGACGCAAAGCAAATATATTGTAATTGTTACGTGTGTGAATTGTACCGAAAACGTGCGTTGCATACGCTTCCTTCTCTCGCGAGATGACGCAATTCCAGTGCACACGTGAGCTGAAGCACGGCGGTGAAGTAACCGCGAGTCGTAAAGCGGGCGCAACGAGGCGTTTGAATAACCGCGTTTGTGCTCTACCCGCTTTGACAAGTGTCGGTTTCCTGTTGGAAGTATTACGTGTCATCAACACAGTCGTTATCTCATTTCGTGCGGCCGGGTCTTTGAGAATCGAGTTAAGTATCGAGGCTATCTCAAGATGTTTTAGCCGCACAGAGACATTCCAGAAGCAGAGACGATAAAAAGACAGACGTCACAATTTCCTTTCGCAATCTTTTATTTGCCGGTTCAATTAATTCATCTCCCGATTAATTTGTTTTTTTTTTTTCCCCAATTATTTCTTTACGAGACGCGAGTCATTGTACAGAAAACGTTTCTGTAAATTTCCGAAAAAAAAAACAAACAAAATATCTCGACCGATTTGAGAGAGAAAACGTAAGACCGGAAAAATCACGCGGAAGATCACGCGACACACGAAGAGCGCAAGTGTCGTGAGGAATGCGCGATTCTTTTCGCAGTTATCTCGCAGTTTTCTATATGTCCAACAGGAACGCATTGATATGTATACGACGAGTGGATCCGGAAAATCGCTTGGGAGCGATCTGACTTCCGGCCACTCGAAATCCAACTACTCGGTTATACTACGTCTCGCGCCACGAGCTAACAGATAACCACAAAATAATTGGCAACGATGCTGATATGTAACGTTCCGCTGGAAGAGAAAACATTCCAGCGCTTCTCGCGCGAGCGAGAATTCTTCGGTCCACGGCCGATCCGCGAAGATCGACGTTTAGATTTTTATCTCAACTGCTCAGATTCTCTACCATTGAATTGTTGTGTAACCGCGTTCTCATTAGCCAATAACAATAATTTGCTTCGTTTATTCTTCTCTATCGAAGTCCGTGACGTGTTTAAGCGTAAGGCTGTTTCATTTGCTGTTTCATTAATGCATATGATTAGTGTGGAGCGTGTGGAGGCGTTTTCAATTCGATCGCAGAGCATCCGAGAGTTCCGTAAATAACAGTGATTTTATCAGAAATAAATCCGCCGTCCGTAGTGATCTCTTACGCGCCGCTTGTTACACCAATACCTAAGCGACCACGCAACCGTCTGTGATTATCATTTCGACGCGCGGCAATTGCAGGGAGAGAGGGGGATTGCTCGTGGTGCTTACTGCGCGATCCGACTTACACCGCAACGATTAATTTTTCACCACCATCGTGACTTTTTTTGCAAATCGCATACCGCGTGGGTTTTGGTCAAACGCAACGAACAAATCGGTTCTTAATTGTTCATGACGCTGAATTTTTGTTCAAGCGTTGTCGCGAAAATAAATCGAAAACTCGTAAAACTGCGTATCGATTCGATTAAAAGTTCGATTTTAAAATAATTTCTGCATATATATATATCGCGTTTTGTAAAGCTGGGAATAAAGTGTATATATATTGGATTATCGCGTTTGTACTGATTGAAATTAGTCGAATCGCTCGACAAAGAGATTTTCTCCGGTTCTCCCGAGAGGAAATGGAAATCTAGGCGCGAAGTGACGCTTTTTTTGCGAGTATCCGGAAGAATTTCAAAGTATATTCAGTTCTCGAAAGATCGATTGTCGCGATTGCCGTAAGCTGTGTATGTAATACGCGTATGTCAGGGACATGCGCGATCGCGTCGCGCGCGCGTGTGTGTCTCTGAAGCGAGGATCTGCTCTGAAACGTCTTACCGCGCACGAAATAGACGTTCGTTTCTCTCATGGGAAATAAAAGAGCGATTCTCCGAAGAGGACGAAGGAATCAATCATTTCTCGCCACCAGTCCGAGTTGTGTAGCGGTTATTTGGAGTAATAATAAACGTCATACTTGTGAGATTTTTATCAATTTGACCGATAAAAATCTGTTCGAGCCCGAGAGTGTTCGGTCGATCGTGACAAAACCGACATCGCGATGACGTGCCGACTTCTCGTGACGAAACCTTGTTGTTAATGCTACTGTTGTGACAGACTGCGCGTCTATCGTGAACACGTTGAGTTGAGCCCAAAAATAATAATAACGTGACGTTTCATTTAAACGAATCGAGAGAAATACATCTCTGGTTTTTCGCCCGTCGTCGTGAAATCGTGACGCGTCTCCGCCATCGCGTCACGATCACCCGATAAGAAATATCGTTTTTCACCAACCCCTAACGTACAGAAGTAAATAAACAAGTCGGAAGAGTTTGTCGTGATTCGCAGCGATCACAATGCCGCTCATTAATTACGTCGATAACAATGTCAGAAACGGATGTAACGTCAAAACGTCGTCGGCATCGAAACGAAGAGTCGACGGCACCGCGAAGTCACGCACTTCTGTGAGATTACGCTAAAACGGCGGCGAGAATAATCACTGATAACGTTGCGTCGATGTACATTTTATACCAGGTAGCTGACGACGAGATTCTCCCGGCGCTGCCCTTGCCCACGCAGCCCATCCTCTCGAGCGGTATACTCTGCACGGCGTACTCGCGATGTTCCGACTTCATCGTGCAGACCGTTCGCTTCTTAGACATCATCTCGTCGTCCTTGTCGCGCAGATTTCTAATCCACGCGGCGTACCACCGCAGCTCGCAGTCGCAAATCAAAGGATTATCTGCCCGTGGAAAAACAAAAGAAAACAGAGATGTACGGAAAATGAGATTTTATGCGAAAAATTAATGCATTTCTTTGTCAAAGAAGAATTAATAATTAGCTTTGTAATTAAATTCTTGTTTTTATTTAAAAAAAAAAAAAAAAAAAAAAAAACCATTAATACGCGTTGTAGAAATCAATGTCTTTTATTGTTTAGTAAGATTTATCACAAAAAATAAATTATATTTTTATTTATTATTCATATATTTCGACGTTTAGATCACGTAATAGTGCGTTTTGTATAAAAAAAAAGTTGCATGATTGCATTGAGAAAATTAAGAGATTGACCTTGTTAAGGTCGACTGTGTTACCTGTTATGTCTATGTGACGTAGAGTGTCAACGATGTTCTCCGTGACTTCTTCTGGGATGTGTATTAATTTGTTGTTTTGCAAATTTAAGGTTTCTAGCGAATTGAGGCTTTCGAATACCAGAGGCGGAAGTACTTTAATCCTGAAAAGATAACGTGCACGTGGAGCGCTTTGGCATCTCGACTGGCGAGCGCAATGTTTTATCGAATTATTTATATTGCCAACAAAAACTTAATGAAAAGAAAATATCGCTATACGTTTAATCTAAAATTTTGCGTGTAAATTATTTAAATTGCGCGTGTGCTTGAAAGAGGATATTACAAATTTTTTTGCAGATTAAGGAAAGTTATGGAATCTCCGTAGCCCATGAAAGCGTCCTCAGGAAGTGCGGTGATGTTATTCGCCCGCAAATCAAGATGGCGTAAACGATGTAAGCGTCGCAGAGCGTCGCTCGGTACCGCGTGTAAATTATTATCTCCCAGTCGTAAATACTGCAAATTTTCTGTAATAAGAGGTTGAAAATTAGAGGAGGGGGAGTAAGGGAACACACATTTTACAGAAGAACTTACAAGTCCGCGGAATGTGGGAAGCAATATTAGGGAAGACGAAAATAATCTATACTCGTAATCTTCTTAGTTATTCCGCCTCTTTGCAAAAAAGTCAATTGACTCTCTTGACGGCACAAGTGTAGTAATTAAAGCAGTCGCGTGTATATTAGAATAAATAACAGCAACTTGAGTCGCAGTAGACTGCTTCGTTACGTAAAGAGCATCAACAATAACTCTGCAGAATCGTGACTCGCTCAAAACAAACTTATCCGATGAGTTGTAAGCTAGTTGTAATCAAGACGAGCTACTTGATTGGTAAGAATTTACGCAAGCTCTTGAACGAATACTTTGTTTCAAGAGCTTTAATTGGATTCGTCAATATAATAGCAAAGAGAGTTTGAGAACAGTTTCTTTATTTTTTTTAACAATATCGAAAAGAGCTTATTAGAAAAAAATTGTTTTTTTTTTGTATATTATTTCTGATATAATCAGAAAGAGAGTCCGTAAATACGTCAACATTTATTTAATTGCAAAAATGTACAAACGTTCGTTAATATTTATTTAATTCTAAATCATTGTTGTGAAAAAAAATATGAAGAAAGACGTGTGACGTTTTTTTTCTGTGCGCGAACAATATAATATTTCACCATCGCAAAATCGGAACGCATCCGTGTTATTTCGTAATAGAGCGTTTGTTTGATCTAATCATTTGTCTTATTGATCGCGAGGCTAGCAGCGCGATGCTCCGACTGAATTGTTAAAAGCGCCGATGCTATTCGTTCACGTGGAACAATGCTTTGTCGAAATATTATCTTGATAGTCGAGAGCTTGTGTTTGTAAGGGGTAGTTTGTAAAGTGTCATTTGCTCGTTTATATCTCTCGCCCAAAGGGAACCGATGCCATCACCAGGCAAGCAACCGCGACTCGCGGTAAATTTAAATGCTAAGCAGCTGTGGCGCTCGCAACGATAAATAAAATAGAACGTGATCCGCAAGAACTGTAGAAATTTCACAGTAAACCAAACACAAGACCGAGCGAGTACAACGGCTGCATTGAAATTGAGCATTGAGATCTGATTTTGCCGATGCCGCGGCATTCGAAATTTAAACTGTTAATCGATAAACGCAAGCAAAATATCTTTACTACTTGTTTTATAGTTCGTTTCTTTGACAAAATAATTTTTATCGAGTTTTTAAATTTTGAGAGAAGTACAAAATTATAATACGATCATCGTGTAATATCGTGTTAATGTGTGTGTTAACGTTTAACTACACTTTGAAACTTAATACACACGTGTATTGCATATTCACGGTTAGTGAGTTAAAAAAACTGCATTAAAAATAATAATTATACTTACCCTCAAGACCGATAAACGCGTTAGCATCTACGTGGGTAATTTGATTTCCATCAAGTTCCAAAGAGTTTAATTGCGTCAAGTGAGAGAATACACGCGCCGGTACCTCGCGGATGTTATTGTGCGCCAATCCTAATGAATCGAGTCCTTTCAGTCCTGAAAAGACAAAACGTTTTATCGATGAGCCCATCTTTTTCCATTATTACAAAATGCTCGGTATTTGTGCGTTTATTAAGAGCGTAGTTTTTTTTTTTTTTTTTTTTTAGTGAAACACAAAAGAAACGGGTTTAATATCACTTTTAAAACAGTTTTGCAGAGAGAAGAGACTGATAAACGTGAACGTTATAGAATGGTAAAACGTAAATGAATTCAAGATATTGCACGTTTTTCAAAACAATATTAGAGACAATATTGAAAACAAATTGTTTTCACAGTGCAAAATATAAATTAACAATTTTACCTTCGAAATCTCCTTCTTGTATAGTTGATATGCGATTTTCTTGCATTTCTAATTTTTTCAACAGATCTAACGACGTCAGAGCTTGAGTGGGTACCTTCGTGAGTTCATTTCCGCCTAAATTAAGCCTCTTGAGCTTCCGGCTGGAACCGCGAGATTTAAAAGCACATCATTGAAAATTTTACGAGAAAAGCGTAGTTGTGAATAAGTTATCAGCTAAACAAGCTACACAATTTTGTTTTTTTTTTGTTTATAAAAGAGATTTCTTATATATTTCGTTGCTGATCTTCTTGAGAATCGCATTTCATACAGTCGATGAGAGCGACTTACTTATCGAGTCCTTTGAACGCATCTGGCTCTATGATGGAGATCTTGTTCTCGTAAAGAGTGAGGATTTCGAGTGTGTCGAGACCTTCAAAAGCTTTGCTATGGATGGCTGTGATTTTATTACGGTTCAAATTCAAAATCAGGAGTTGATGGAGGTCTCGCAACGAGACGGATGGGACGTTAGCCAGTAAATTTTGGGACAGATCCAGCTGTGTCAACTGCTGTCCTGCAAGTAGGTGAAATATTCAATTCTAGCGGCTGTTTTTTATATAGTTTTCACTTGTTATTTATTCGTGAGATTATAAATCGTGCCATTTTTTAATCGATCAACACAAAGAAATTGGAGAAATCTTGAGTTTAATGTAATATACACATGTGTGATTATATATATATATGTGTGTGTATGTTTTCTATTTCGTTAAGATAACTTGTTAATTTAATACACACACACACACATCATAACTCTAATAAAATATCTATAATTCTGGTCGTTGCTGGTATTACAAAGTAATAAAATCTTGTTTCATCCTATAATGTAATTAAAACATGGAAAAAACATGCTGCGCGAATTCAAAGCCATTAGAAAATAACAATTTTATAATACTCTTTCTCTCTCTTTCTCCTTGTTTCTCTTTCTTTCCGATGTTGCGACGTGAATAAAAACGAGAAATGTCATATTGAGACACAATGCACCCTCATTACGTTCGGAACGCAGCAACCACGCGATTGCGATTATCTCCGCATATCTCGAATATATACGGCAGGTGTAAAAAGAACGTATTTTCCAGTCCCTTAGTACAGTAATTTATTCCGAATCTGCGTGGCCGCAAAAGCTACGCGGCGGTTCTAAACCGTCGGTGGCTCGTAAGAGATTTAAAGGCGGGTTAAATTTGTAGTCGACTTTAACGTGAGCCTCGCGTGACAGACTGAGTGCTTCAATGTCGGCTTTAATATAAAAACTGATCCTAAATCTTCCATAAAAGTCTTTTGACGCCAGAAGATAGATACTGTTTCGTGTGCCGTAAAAAAAAAAAAAAAATGTTACTACATGACGCGCATGAAGTGGTGCTGAGTTTTTTTTTTCATCACTTCACATACTGCCAGCGAAAAATGCTTTTAAATTACGGCGCTGAATATATCGGTAATATGTGAGCGAGCTTAATCACGGGAACGTAGTTTTTGTAATGGCGCCATTTTTTCTGAATAATCGTAAAAGTTCGAATGTTCGTTCGTACATGAATATGTCGAATTACTTTCAGAATATTGCGATTTTGTTAAATACGTAAAATTACAAAATCTAGCACTTCAATTTTAATTTGTTTTAAAGTTAAAATATTTAAAATGTTAAAATATTTAGATATCGCCCTTCAGTTCATTGCGCTGCGATTATCAGAATGTGTATCGCTGCGAATATGATTGACAATAGTATCGTATATATCGATACAGCTGTGATAACTTTTTGAGATGCACTTAACATAGCGGTTTGCAACAATTCTACGTATTAGTGAGTAGTAAGCGAAGGCCAATGAGAACGTGTAACGCAGTTACGTGACGTGTTATAGGCGAACATTTCAGTTTATTGTTCTTCAGTTGTAAACAATCATGATTGAAACGTTAGAACAATAAACTGAAATTTTCGCAACACGTCACCAACTGTGTTACATGCTTTTCATTGGTCTTCGCTTAATACTCAATTTGACATTTTGGAGCAATTCATACATTCTTATAGATTTTGAATTCTACGTATGATTTTCCAAATGGTGCGTCACTACAATAATTAACAGACTCGGTGTTTGGAATCTCTGTGTGAAATTTCTCAAATAATGCAAATTGTTTGCGTAACATTATGTTACACATACATTAACAAGAGAGAAAAATTATCAATCAAATTAATAAAAATTATCAAATTTAATTATATTACGATCATCAAGTTTTTTTATGCAAGATTTATATGATTTTTATTAAATTAAAAAGAGAACACCTTTTAGTTAAAAAGAGAACACCATGTAGTTTCAATTGTAGTACTCAATTTTGAACCGTGAGTCAAATTTTGTTTTAATGTAATTAAATTATATTACATTACGATTATCAAGTTTTTTTTATGTAAGATTTATAAGATTTTTATTAAATTAAAAATAAAACACCATGTAGTTTCAATTGTAGTACTCAATTTTGAACCGTGAGTCAAATTTTGTTTTAATGAGTTTTCACGAGTGACTGCGCAGACTTTTGTATGTACTCATTCGAATCTTTATTTTTTCAAGGAAAAGTTCCACATCTCGATAGTCAATATATCATATTTTCGTTCCATCATATTTTCGTTGTGTTTTGTTTTCGTTTAGACGAATGTCTCACATACATACACACACTTACCAAGAGAACTAAGAGAAGATTCTTCCAGCACCACTAGGCTACTATTGTGGATGGTTAGGTGGGATATTGTAAGGCCAAGGAACACATATCCTTGCAACTTGGGCAGAGTGTTGTGCCTAAGTCTGAGATAAAATATTTTGGCGTCCTTCTCCTTGAGTTTGCTCATAGCCTTGGAGATGTGTTGTAACTCGGTGCCCTCGCACACAATGTCCAGACCGGATTTCTTCACACTACAGGAACAGGGTGAGATGTCGTTGTGGTGCGGGCATGTCTGTAGTGTTTGCGCTAAGCTCGTCGCTAAGACGAGACAGAGCAACCACACCAGCCGCCACACATCCGTCAGACCTTGCTTCCTCATTTTTCGTTACGATTCCGGCGCCTTCCTACCCCGTGACTTCGTCACAATGGTCGACTCTTACGAACCTTTCGCTTGCCCTCCGTTCCTGTCCCACTGACGTTCACTCTCGCTTTCTGTCGGCCGCACGCCTCTCTCTCCCACAATCTACCCCTTCGCGCCGTCTTCGTACCTGTACCTGCAGCCTGCTACTTAGCCTCTGTTCTTCTCATATCCATTGTTTGTTCTGCCACGGTGTACCAGTACACCGAGTCTGCAAGCAAACGGAAGTTTTGATAAGTTTCTTAAGCTCGTTGAAGGAAAAGTAAAGAATAAACGTGCATAGAATAAGATCAAAGAATTTAACCCACTACATCGTGGTATCAGATACCTTTCTGCTAATAAATAATTATACGAGGAAATTTGCATTGTTTATACGAAAAATCATTTGTTTAAAAATTTTTGAACTACACAGTTTGGAAAATTATAAAAATGAGATATAAAGTAAAAATATGCTTAGAAGAAGACATTAAAAAAAATATTTATTTCTTTACTACACAATATTTTTATATTATATTTATAGTGCTATTGCTTTACAAGAACAGTTTAAAATTTTAATTGCACACGAAACTAAACTGTCAAATGATACAACAGCATTGAAATATGATAAAGCAATGTGTATTTCAATATGTGTTGGAAAGAGTCAATACGAGATTGCATAAAAGATGTTTATGTAATAGTAATATGAAAGCTTTATTAAGGTGTCAAACGTTTCGATCTTTGTATATGATCTTTTTCAGTAACCAGCTGTGTGTATAAAAAACATTGAAATATAAATGAACTCTGGTTTGGTACCAACTAAAATGAAAAAATTGAAAAACGATTGTGTGCGTCAGAATTTAAAAAAAACAATGGGTAAAATTCATTCTTGATGACTAAAAAATAACGAAATAAAAGAGAGAACACTTAGAATACATTAATACAAAAATATGAAAAGCAAACATAAATGTTACTTGTCAAGAATGTAAAAGTCAATATAATAACTGAATAAAAATACGGTTTAAAATTAAACAACGCTGATGTATTACTACCTTCACGTCATTCGGTTTATATTATATGTGATTTTCTTTATGCGTAATGAGTGAGAAAACAGTTGAAGATATTAGTAAATAATGCTGATATCATGACAATATAACAACGTTCTTATTTAGGGTGCGTTTGTTTAGGGCGCTTGTGCGCTTTAAGTGCGTCAGTCCGTCTGTATTGTTCTTTGAATGTAAAACAAAGATACGCTGAAAGCGTGTGAGCGTCTAAAGCAAGCGCACCTTTAATTTTATATGATTCTAGAAACGCGAAGTTAATTGCATTTTTTCTAACTTAATACGAGTATTTTTTGTCTCGCAGAAAAAAGGAGCTTAAGTGATTCACTAATTAAATGCGTAATATGTACGTAAATAGATACACAGTTTGCATGCAGAAGTGGAATATTGCGAAATTGTTGTTAGCTATTGTCAGAATTGCAACATGATGAACTAACTCTCATGCGAAAACCGTTATTCGCTTGTACAAAGATGTAATGCAAAAATATTCGTAAAGACAGTCAGTTGCGTTACGCCCTATAACTTATTTATAGCTACAGTAGCTGCGCAAAACTTTCATGCGTGTCTGTGAATAACTGCGGTAACGTCAAGTTTTAGTATCCGTCAGTGCAATCGCATGCAACGTTACAGAGTCGTTAACATCTCTGTAATATCTTTACAATTTCGCGTAACTGCCTTAAGTTATTTCTAACATTTCACTTATCTGACACGTGCACGTATATATGTACGGAAATGTGTGTATATATATATATATAGAAATATGTAAACTTTTTCTCATTAAAAGTTTCACGCGAGAGATAATTACGAGAGAAATTATCGAAGTTCAAATCAATCTAGCAAGCTTATGATGTTGTACAAAATCATAAATATTAATGACGATATCCCGTTATTTTTGTTTAATTTTATGCATACATGTAGCTTTTACAAACACTTATTTAATGAAAATTGTGCTTTAAGTTTGATTACAAAAAAATAGTTGATGTTAAAATGTGTAAAAAATTAATACAAGAATCGATGCTTCGAAACGTCGCAAATGTGAATTTGTCGGGAAGACGCGTTCTTCATATTTTACGTATCTTTTTCAAACATCGAATACACAGACCTTATGGATGTGAACTGGTAATAGCAAGCAAATTTGTAACCAGAGAAGAATTGAAGAGAAACATATTCTCCCGTATTTTTCTCTTTCTCTCTTGAAGTGTCCGGAAAAGTACATTTCCGGAAAGAGATAAAGCACACGAGAGATAGAGATAGAGAGATAGAGAGAGAGAGAGAAAGAGAGAAAGTTCGTATCTATAAGGTCAGTGATTAGATACATATAATATCAATGACGTAGTAACGTGCAAGAACTGCTCTATTTGTGTACCTATGTGTACCGAGCCATGCGGAGGGCGTCGTGTCTTCTTCTAGCTCGCGATACACACAACGAAAGGCGTAAAACGAAATGACGACGCGCGTTCGCGTGATCACTAGGCATACTCGCTTTCGCTGCGTATGCGAGAGTTCGATCGATCGTCGGCTGGTAGTCGGCGCGTGTAACACTGACGCGTTTTTGAACACCGTCGCATTCTATACGTTTTCACACGTATTGCGCAACAAGTATGTTCCGGGCGACGGCGGACGAGCAGCGTTCGTGGCGGTTTTTATTCTCGAAAATTTCTCAGCTCGTAAAAAAAAGAACTCTCTCATCACATGGCAAATCGGAATTGGATCAATTTTCACTTCACGTGAAACACAGAAACACACAGCGGCAACCGTCGGGATATCTCATTCTCCCGACGGTTTCACGAGGGAGCTTCGAACCACAACTGCGAAGTAATGTCGATATAACGTATCGAGCGCGCCATAACCGCGCGCGACTCATCGATGTGTGCGCGCGCGCGTATATATGAATGACTTGTTTTTCATCTCTTACTATAAGTGTTTTACGCGCACCACCTGTGCTCTACCGCGAATCCGAACGATGAAATCTGTTACGGAGCTTTCGCTACTGTTCGCAATAATCACTCACTGCTTCCTCATTTGTGAGCAATATCCGCGCGTTGTTCGCCCGCGAGAATCACACTCGACAGTCGTGTCACGTTTGGCATCGACGGTGATATCGCGTTGCTGAACGACTACTCCGAAAGAGAGAGAGACGCGCGCTCGCTGACGCGAGAAATCGGTCACGTTAGATTTTCTCAAAGACACACGTCAACGCGATCCAAACGTCGATATTCAACGTGTGCGGTTTCCCTTCAATTCCGTCGCCGTAAGTATAAGGCACGACCGACGACACTTTTGATGTTGGTCGATTTCAAGAGTGCAATAGAGCTAAACCGCGACGAAATCGACGACACCGATAACCGAGAAGCTGGTCGTTAAGACGGTCTCTCGTGGCCGAAGCGCGAAGGCGTTCACAGTTTGCTGAGCCGAGCTTTCTGCGCGTTGCTGCGTTGCCGGTGACCTGGGTGTCCGTTGGCATTATCATTGCCCGACTAATGGGACGCTTCCGGCACAGGGATCATGGGATCGCGACCGCGAGAATATATCGGTTAACGTCATAGTTGCTCTCCTACGCCGACAAATCGAGTTACTCGTCCCGGAGTCTTTGTAATTGCGAACGATGAAAGAGCAGTCTGTGTGTAATAGAAAATTTCGTATCTTGACCTACAACCTTTCTCCGCGGAAATATCACGCTAATGTACTTTCCTTTGTTTTATGACACATATTGTACGAGAATTGTACGGTCCATATATATATATATATGTTACAAATTGCAGACGAAACTCCGGCTTTTTGAAAACGGTAAAAATGTTCTCAAAGTTACCTCAAATTTAGGTTAGTACACGATACGTATTGTTACGTATTGTATGTACGCACGTATATACGTGCATGTTCTTTCTTTGCAGCTTTTATTAGTTTTAATAACGACGGCGTCATTCAGTCAGTTTGCAATACGATATTGTTTATTAGATGTAATGTTTATTCATCCTACATCGTACTACAATACTCGCTTCGCGTGATCTATAATTAAATTTTGACAAAAATTAATTGTAAGAAAATATAATTTTTAATAATAATAACGACGGCGTTAGTTTGCACTCGCAATGCGATATTGTTCAATGAATATAATGTTTATTCATCCCACATCGTACTATGACGACGATACGCTCACTTCGGATGATCTATGAAGATAACTTTGACAGAAATTAATTTACAAACAAAAAAACAGATTTATTTGTAGTGAAAAGGCGATAGTGCGTGTGAAGCAAATTAGGTTGCTTTATTCTCCTTCAGTAAATTCCTTACAATCTTTACAATCTTGAAAACCGCATTGTATATTTATCATTCTTTGACACGTTGATTTTGATTGTATATTTTTGACATTGTATATTTATCATTCTATGAAAAACTTGTTCAGAACTTGTGAAAATAATTTTGGACTATAAGAGTTTTTAATTGATGTATATTATTACTCACAAGCAAAGAGATCTGAACGAGTTTATATTGGTCTTATCAAAAAAAAACAAAAACAAAAAAGTAGACATCTGTGTTGTAAATTTGTAATGAAACAAATATAAAAGTGTCATCAGCAAATTGTGAATAAATTTATAATCTGATTCTGAAAGAGAGAGAAAGAGAGAGAAATTTCGTACATTTGAAATAAATATCTAAACATATCTAGAAATAGGATTGTCATGCAAAATATCCTGTCATCGTGTTTTACGATGACAGGAACGTGAATTTGTAACAACGTATCATTTCTATGTTTAGAAAGTTTTAATCACATATTGTCTCAACAGTGTGAACATTATAAGGACGCATTTAAAAAAAAAAAAAAAAAAAAACAAAGCTAAGTTTATCGACACTATATATGTGTATATGTGTCAATAAAACTCCTTGTATTATCAAAGGTAGCGAAGTGATTGTCGCTATCCGGATTACAAGTGATTTCGCGCGCCATCTATAGCACACACATCCCCTTTTCGATTAGCTATCGAGTTTACGTCGCAATTACGGAACATCGAATCAATCTTCCGCAACGGAGGGAAAGAGAGACGATACATTATTACGCATTCTGAATATAGGCCTTCCCACGCTGCTCCGTTTCGGAACTAAGACAAGCGGATATTGCCCGACCGCTAATCGAGTTTAGTGGCGAGTTGCGTTCGCGGGGAGAAAGATTCAATTGGGAAAGTATTAAGAGCTTTTAGCTTCCGCCGTGCTGATTTCTCTTCGAGTGGCGATGCTTTCGCGCGATATCTCTTAAATTTCATCCAAAGCAATGAGCGTGAAATTTAAAAAGTTAGCGGTGAAACGCAGAGCACGATAATTCAATCTACAATTCATACGATGACGTGCGTGCCGCGTTATAAAGAGATGGGAGGAGAGAACGAAGTTATTAGTATTGAAGAGATACAAAATGAAGCACAAATGTAAAACAACACATCCCGCAATTTTTTTTTTACTTCGTTGAGGAAACAAATAGCTGATGCATATTCAATGTCGCGCGGAGTTGTTGTTTAAAATATTACGTGTGTATTTTAAGTTTTGATCTTCGCTGTGTACTAGTGATAGTGTTATTATTCGTGACAAAACCGCAGAAATAATTTTGAACTCGGAGAAAAGTAATTACCATAGCGAGTGAACGAGAGAGAGAGAGAGAGAGAGAGAGGGCGAGGGCGCAATTTTCTTCCGTTAGCCAGTTGACGTTGCCCAAATCGATTCGTCTTTGCTCGCTCGCTCGCTTTGTTTGCGCGACACTGGAATAAATTGTACAATCTAGAGAAACACACTTTATTAAATTGAATGACGTCGACACTTCGATAACGCGATTTCAGCCGCGCTCGCGGCAAAAGCGCTTTTTTCATTTTCCATGCTGACGAGACTGACTGTCCCCTCTGCGGGAAGTAAAAGAGAAAAATTCAATTTACCGAAAAAAACACGTATATCTTTTAGAATAAAAGAAGATTCGCAATCACATAATTTCGAATATCATTCATTTTTCCGATTCGCGATAGATAATACAGATGGGAAACCTTTTGTTTTACGCGAGAAAAACCTCGTTAACCCGCAATTAATATAAAATGTTTTTCATGAACACTAGAAGAAAAGCGCGTTCAATATTCTTTATAGATCACGTTGCGTCACTCGTAATTCGAGCATATTTGCAATTTCATTACATTACGGCAAACTTACCCAATCATTATCTACTTTATCTTGTTAGCAGACTCAAACAGACATTCTGCTCCTCTCTACCCTAATTGTATAGCGATCGAAGAATTCGTCGAGAATTCTCAGATATCTTTAGTAGATTACAACTGCATAAAACCGATATTAAATGTGTAATACGTTGTTACAAAGTGGAAGTGAAAAAATTTACAGAGAAGAATTTACTTTGTTTAGAAAATTTATTACCGACGTGCTTTTTTGTTACTTTTATTTAGAAGAAGCGGTTCGTGTGTTACTGCTCCAGAGAAGGCGGGGTCATCAACAAACTGACCAGCTGTTCCGAATTTAACAGCTGGTCAGTTTGTTGATGATCCTCTATATCTCCGTGAATGAATATTATTCCTTTCCGTTCATGAATTTTAATATCGTGTTTTGAATCTAAATTCAATGATCTCATAAGCAACGACCGGTTTGATTTTATTATCAAACTGAAAACAAGATTCAAGAGATATAAATGTTTTACTAACGCAATATCTTATACCATACACGAGAATTATTGCAATGTTATAAAAGAAGACAAGAAGAACAGAAGCCGCTGTTGCGCCGTCTGAGATCAGACTCTGACGACCACAAAGTTATCCTACGGCAATTTTACGTTTCATATTTTCACGATCAAATGGCGTGATCCACAGTCTCGATCGCGTTTCTCGATTTTATTGTATAATATTATCTCGCGGCGGATCCGCGTGACTTATCTCATGTTGCGGGAATCATATATAGTTCAGATGCATCGCTCCCAGATGGATTACAAACGAATTTCGATTCGCCAACTCGCGATCGAATTCGCGAAACTCGAATATCTTTAGCACCACGAGCTTGTTACGCTTCATCAGCATAACGTTGCATGTGTGATTAGCATGCGTCGGTTAGATGCGTCGACGCACGTAGCGAAAATCGACGCGTGTGACGCGGCTTACGTAGAGAAACAAGTCGATAGCGAGCGCTGCACGCGATTAATATGCATTACGACTAATGTGTGTGTGTGTGTGTGTGTGTGTGTGTGTATGGCCGCGGAATATTTTGGAATATATTTAGCGGTGCTCAAACACGGTGTTAAAATCAGAGTGTAAATAATGTGTTTCCAAATATATGACAAATTTAACGGATATATTTTGTTTATTTTTTTTCTGTGCATCTGGAAGATAATTTTAAAGTTTTTATTCATTTCGGCGTTTCCGTTTATCTCTCGACTGAATCACTCGAATTTCATTTAGACACGTTATGAATTAAATCAAAATACTATTATTAAACGTGAAATAATGGATTTGAAAATCTATACTATCACAAAAGCGACAATGTTATTGACGTAGCTATTAATATTACTTAAACGTCTATCTCGTGTCTCACGTTTAATATAGAAGTGATGAACATACGAAACCAATTATCGTTATAGTAAAATATATAATCAAATTTTCTATATATATATATATATATATATACAGTATATGTTGACTTAAAACTTGAATAAATGATTGATCGTGTAATAATTGGACCGACTATATATATGTATATTTACTGGAGCCATTCACGTCTTAATAAGAGACCCACAGATGACCCCGACTTCTCTTCAAGAAAGAGCTCGCGTCTCATTTAGCGGCGAAGATTCGTATGTCGGAATATCCAGACTTGATTGGATATTTGCATAAATCTTTTATGCATGTCGCATAGGCTTTTAAGTCGCGACATTGCGAGAGAAATGTTCCGCGAACTCGCAATATTCTTAGCTCGCAAAATCATTCCCGGAATTGTCCATTACTTCGTCGTCGTCGTCTCGGTCTTGAAATGGGAGAGACAGGTGTACTGTGCTTTTCCATTCCCTCTCTCACGCGCGCAAGTTATTTTTCTCTCCGGCGACTGCATTTCCTTCTACGATGGAAATGGTTAAGCTTCAGTGTGTGCCGTTTTCTCGGACGCTCCCGTTGTGTGTGCGCGCGCGCGCGACAACGACGACGACGACAACGACGACTTTTTTTACAAACAAAGTTTTCATTCATAATTGAAGCGCGCCGTTTTCTTGGCGGAAAAAAAAAAAAAGCGGAAGAAGAGGCCTGTCGCGACAATTCGGGCAGTGTTACGAACGAGACAAGATATTTCATAAATAATGTTGTGCTCCAACAGAGCGAGCAAACTTGGCAAACCTGTTAAATCGTTAGCTTTTACCCGTAGCTTGTCGTAGACGGAATGGAACTTCCCAAAAATGCACCCGCTTCCATCCGTAAGAAGATTACGCGGA